GCTTCCAGGCCACGAGCCTCCGTGCTGCTGGCGCCTCCCGGAGAGGAGTGTTCGCTGATTTGTTGTAGTTATTTGTGCGAGCCCTCAGTATCATCGACCGCTATAGCTGTAACTGTTTCAGCCACCTCCCCAAAACGTTTCCCTTACACTATATATTATTATATATTATCAGGCTGTCAAAAAGCAGTCCAGTTTAGTGATTCCTCAGATTTTTTGTGAATTTTGTTTGCTTAAGGGGCAGATGGGGCCTGGGTCTGTAAAACTAATCATCACTCTTTGTTGCAGGATCCCATAGGAGCTAATTCTTTGATGAAGGGTAGCATCCCAATTATGGATTTTTCAACTATTGTTCCATTTGGAGGTCAAGATCTTCTTCGCAGAGGGTTTGTTTTACTGGCTCTTCTTAAACTGTGCAGTAATCAATGTAAAACTTCAGGTAGAAGAAGAAAGAATATTAAATACTGCTTTTGAAGAAGTTTCTAGGTAGATGTGTTTCAAAACCTCTTTGCATAAAGCACTTGTTTTTAGTCAGATTGTCCTTCAAGCTTTTGGCAAAACGTCACTTCAAGAAGTAGATAATATTAATGGACTTTGACTGATTTGGTGCTTTTTTTTTAGAAAGTAATGGCAAAGTCTCAATCATTTTTTGTATTGGTACAGAAAGTAAAGCTACTATTATAAAAATAATATTTTTAAAACTTAAAACTTAAATGAGTGGCGAAACTATGCACATGTTTTGAATAATGAATCTGTAATAATTTAATGGAGTTTAAAATATGGGTGCAACAGCTGCAGAGGGGAAAGCATGTGCGGGATTCAGCTGGAAATAACTTGAAAGAAGTTGAGACTTTTGCTCATTAAACTATGTATGCAGTTATTTATATATTTCTCTATTTGTGAGGGAGGTTAAGGAGAAAAAAAGTATTATTTCTTTATGTCAAATATAAAACTGAAGTGTAAAGGATGCCTGAAATTCTTATACAAGACTTTTTTTTTCCTGACAGTGCTATAGTTAAGAGTTCAGTTTTGCTTCTTCGTCATTAAGCATCATTTTTTGAATAGCTAAAACAATCCTAAGCTTGTGTCTTTGGATTGATTTTTTGCATCTGTAATTAGTATTGGATTGCATCTTAAAAATGCCGCTCTTCTGATTGTTGTTAATTATGTTGTTTTGTCTGCCTTTATAGCTTTACAAGTGTGAAAAGTGAATTGTTGCCCAGCCATCCACTGGAGCTGTCAGAAAAAAATGCAAGTATAACACCAAATGTGGTCATCATTGCTCTTAATGAGGAGGTTTAATTTAACAGTCTAGTTACTCACACTGCTTTGTGCAGCAACCAGGAATGAGCAAGTTCCTGTCTCCAAAGCCGTAACACTTCGTTTATGCCAGTAACATTCTTGGCAGAAGTGTTTAACGTGTAGCCTCCCACTTGTGCTTCTCTTTAAGTATGTAAACAGACTTCCACATTGGCTCTGTTTTGGGAAGACTTAACCATCTAAAAGTCAGTAAGCCATGCATGCAGTCTCTATAGTTACTGGGGAAAGAGAGAGAGGCCGTTACCTGTCCCTGACAGAAGGCAGTGCTCACCGTTCTGCCCCTGTTTGTTATATATCTTCACTATTAGACTTTGAGCTTGTGAACCCATAAATACTTATCACTGAATTCCTTGAACTCTTATAGAAGTTTCCCATGTACAGTTTGTACTAAGTGTATCCAATCCTGCCTAACTAGTCATGGCTTGTGCACCACTTAGGAGTGGTGTGGACCTTTGTGGAAGATTTACCTTGCCATGAAGGGAGCCTGGATTGACGGCCTTGCCTGAGTAATGAGTTGAGCTGAATCGCGTCTCTGATGCCCGTTTTGTCAGCACAGAAGCATTTGGTACCTTTTGTCTAGAAGCTAATGCAGTATTTGGATCCAGTGTTTCAAAATACAGAACTAAATAGTAAAATAATGTCAAAATGTGCACATTGTTCATCCTATCTTACCAGCTACTCTAAAACCGATAAGAGCAGTCTTTTGCTTTCCTGAGTCTTAAAGAGTGGATGTGATGCTCTGTTTTCCTACATGATCAGAAAAGATGCTTTGCAAATGTTTTGGAGTAGAAATGTCAGTGACTAAAATAATATTCTTGTTTTCTGCATGGTGTTTTTATTTCAAGCTTATTTTCCAATTTGTCGGCTAATACTGAAGTAGTACACAACTAAACCACTTGGTGGAGTTGCATGTCCTGATTGTCAAAAAGAAATAAAAAAAAAAAGAAAAAAAAGGAAATTGCTACTATTGATTTGTAATAAAAATATCTAGTTAAGTGCAGTTTTGTGATTTTAAACTAATATTACTGTAGAGATCAATCATACTAATGCGTTTCAGTTAATTGTGACATTGTCACTAAATTTTACTTCTAAAAGTAAAATTGTCACTAAATTTTACCTCTACTATTTCAGTAAGTGTATTTGTTTAGGATATCACGGTATCTTCTATGTCTGTACTTTTATTTTAATAAAAATGTTCTTTGTGATAGTTCCAGTTAAATCAAGATAAAACAAACTTTGCCACACTGAGAAATATTCAAGGGCTCCATGCACCTTTGAAGCTGCAGATGGAATTCAAAGCAGTGAAGCAGGTAGGCATTTTTATGAAACTGGTACAATTTAAATCATTGGAAGGAATTTTTATCTGGATAAATAAGCTTCTGGAAAACCATCTTCCTACATCAAGTTAAAACCATCTTCTGTTTCCAAGATAAACTTTTATAATGAACTAGTTTTATTAAAAGAAAATAAACATTGCAAGTGATAATTTCTAGAATAATGTATATACTAAAACCTCTCAGCTGCATTTTCCTGGCAATTATTTGGTGAAACAAAAGCATGTCCTGTTTTATGTGGACTAGCTCCCTGCAAGCCTTGGGAGAAGAGCAGGATCAATTCAGTATTAATGAGGAATTAAGTTTGTGTCTCCTCCATGGAGTATGAGCTTCGTGGAAAGGAATCTCTGCATCTGAAGGGAAGAGAGACATACAGCTGTAAAGCGGGTAGTGATTTAGGAGCGGACATCAAGGTAGCTTGCAGCATAAAGCAGAGATTTTTTTCTGTGCTTGTTGCTATTCCACGGCCTTGTAAGATTGGGGAGCTCTTCGGTGATTTAGTTTCAAAAAATTTAGTTTTATTTGGGAAACTGAGTCTCCCTTCTTTCCCATTTTTCCTCTTGTGATGGACAGTAGCTGGAGACCAGTTTTGTCTCTTAGGCATATAGAAGTTCATTAGTCCTAATAACCTGCTGGGCCTTGAGGTTTTTGGTTGGTTGGGGTTTGTTTTGAGTTTTTTTCTTGTTGAAGGTTGAAAGGTCAGTTCTTCCAAATGGGTTGGAGCAGTTTTATGCTCTCTTCCAGTGGATCAGGTTTCCAGGGAGCCAGAATAAGCTGCATAAAACTGGGTAGAAGTTTGTTGTCTTGAAAATAGAAAAGGCAGTTGGGAGAGGAAAACATGCCTTGGTCTCAGCTGTGCTGTCCTTTGAGGAAAGACTTTTTTTCCCTAGGTGATGCTAGCACATACCAGAGAAGAGGGCAGGTGAGGACAGAGATCCTGCTAGTGTGTCTCTCCATGCATTCCTGAGCAGGAGAAAAATCTGGTAGTCAGAAGATTGTTTACTCCAGACTTTTGTCTTTGATGTTAGATATACAGGTTCTCTTGTGGTTTAATTTCACCTTTCCAAAATATGAAGGAGAATAGGGTGTGTGCTTGATCTTCTCGCCTTTGCACCAGGATGTATAGATATCTTCAGACTATTTCGTGTGTGAAGAGAAAAGCTATTTCTGTGTTTGTAAAATGTGCTCATAATATAATTGAAGCTTCACTCTCAATAGTGAATGTAACTGTGAGTAGAGTGAGTAAGCAACTGTGTGGAGTGTTTCAGATCTGAATATCCTATGTACCACAGCTTGTTTTGTAATAATATGGGTGGAGGGGACAGAAAAGCACCTCAATTTTTAATAACTACAGCAAAAGCTGCAAACCTAGTGACAGGCTGTTCCTGTGAAGTGATAGGCAGCAAAGGCCAGTGATGTTAGATAGGCTGTGATAGATGGGTGGGCCTTCTATCAAGGGATACAAGGGATAGCCACCTTGTTTTTATTGTTTTAAAAGCAAGAAGTAGCTTTGCATGTCATTTTTGTCATTTCTGAGTTCTTCAGACTCAGAAATCTGAATCAAAAATTCAAATTCAGATTTGTACAAACCTTTACCATCTTCTTACAGGTCCAGCGTCTCCCATTTCTTCACAGCTCAAACATAGCACTGGATACTCTGAGGGGAAATGATGAAAGCATTGGTTTTGAGGATATTCTTAATGGTAAATGTATTTTCTCTCAAATGTCCTATTAGCTGTCTGAAATTACTTGAAATTAATTGAACAGTAAAATTTGGGAAGTGATAATTTGGCTATTTCTAGGAATTACAAAAAATAGAAACATAGAAGCATACAGATAGAAGTTAAATTCTCACAGTGAAAGCTGCCCTGTGGGATGGAGAAGTAAATGTGGTTCAGCTGATAGTTTTGTGGAAATTTTATTCTGAAATATGGAATAAACCTTTATTTAAGCTTAGTAGAAGATTATACACTTTTCCTAAATACCTGTTCTTCCTGAAACTTTTGAAGTATTTACCCAAATTTTGTCAAGCAGAGGTTTCAAAGATGCAAAGTTTTTTTTAAGTTTTATATTTAAAAAGAAAAAAGGCTTGGTGGAGGAGAGATACCAAACTAAAGCAGCAGAGATGGGATGAAGATTAGTTCAAGAGCTGGCAACTGTGAATTTGGGAAGTGTAGGATGGAGAAGTAAATCATAGAATCATTTACCCAAATTTTGCCAAGCAGATGTTTCAAAGATGCAAAGTTTTTGCAAGTTCTATATTTAAAAAGAAAATAGGCTTGGTGGAGGCAAGATACCAAACTAATGCAGCAGAGATGGGAGGAAGATTAGTTCAAGAGCTGGCAACTGTGTGGGCTGCTGGCAGTCAGTATTTGTATAGGATGGAGTAAACCTGGCCTTTTTATTATTTTTTTAATTTTTGTTTTTAGGAATCTGCTTTTTGTCCAGCTGGTAGTTAACGCCATGAGTGGAAGCAGAGGATGGTCTGAGATGGGGCTAGAGAATGGAGAGAATCTGGGATAGAGGGAACATGAAATGACTGGAGGGGTAGGTGGAAGTCTGGAGGCATGAGGGAAAGCTCAGAATCTTTTCTGGGCTGGATTTATAGGGAGCATGGGAAGGAATCTTAGGTTACTGTGGTTGAAGGGGGTAGAGCAATGTCAAAAAAATTATAGGAACTTGGTTGTTTTTCATTGTTCACAGCAGGCTGTAATTTATAGAAGCAGTAAGTGCTCTGGTAAAGTTGCTCTCAGAAAAGTCCTACTCGTCAGCTAGGGCTGAATGAGGTAATTTAGGTCTTTGTGGAGGAGCATCAAGAAGGCATTAATGTACCTTGTCTGTGGGAAGAAAGTCCTCTGCAGTACCCACGAGGAAGCAGTGACTGCTTCCTGGGCATAGTCACGGCTTTTTTTTCTTCCTTTTTTAAACTTTTTTATTTTAATGGCAATCATAGTTCATAGTGTCAGTACTGAGGTGTTTGTGTCCCCTGCTTGCTCTCTGCTCACCTTAGACTAAGTACTGTGGCCTAATGTCGAGCCTGCTTTACAGACTGGAGGAAATCTCATAGACGCTCAAGGGTGAGAATTTCTTTGAAGCTGAGCAGGGAGTTGGAGAGGAGAAAGCACCAGTGGTTTGCCCCAGCTAGAGGGGAGCCTGGAGTGTGAGCTCCCCTGTGCCAGACCCCAGAGGAGCGGGGTTGAAAGGGCCGTCGGGTGCCTATGGGGAAAGCACCAGCCAGACTTGCATTATCCTGGACACCAAACTCCGTCAGCTGTGACAGGCTGTGATACGGTGAATAGATTCTGCTCGTAGCTTCATAGACACCTAACGTTGCTGGGTTTTTTCTTTGCTGTTTTTTCAGATCCCTCCCAGAGTGAGGCCATGGGAGAGCCGCACATGATGGTGGAATACAAGCTGGGTTTATTGTAATGAAACGTGCTCCAAGCCTATTCTCCATAAAATGTTCTGTGCATGTCTTTATGCTGCAGACCCAAATGCATGATACTGAATTGACACTTGCGGTGTTAAACGGATATCACTTGCCTGCCTTGATGAAAAGGCACATTAAATGTTTAAAGTCTATAAATTGTTTTGTGCTTGTTGTCAATTATGGAAATGTCCTGTAATTAGATTAAATAATGTTTCTTCGTACACTGCTCAGGACAATAGCTTCCTAACTATGGAAATGCTATATATGTATATCAAAATCCAAAAATACCCGTGACTTTTAAGACTGGTTGCTGTAGTAAAATACATTTAATGAATGTTCTTGCAAAAGAACTTTTTAAATGGGAAGATATTTTCCATTGGGTAACTCGTTGTTCATAAAAATTTCCATACTTTTTTTTAAGCACTGAATAAAAGTTTGCTATAAATGCTGTGGCGTTCCAAAATATATTTAATTGTAAATCAAGCATCTGTTATCCCCAACACACAGTATTCTTCTTTGCTTCCATAATTTCTTTAGAAGAGATCTGCAGTAGCTTCTCCACTGCCAGTGGAATCCTGCTATGGACATTTTCTTCCTGCTGTTAGTTGTTGAACTTAGGGACTTTTTCCCCCCCACCTTTTTTTCTTCCACTTCAGAAAAAGGTCTTCAGTCCAAAAGGACGTTCTGTCACCTTCTCATCTGCAGGGAGTGTGCAATGGTGTTTCTAAGACAGAAGCTACATTTATTAAGCAGCTTTTGGTGACTGAAGTGCTAAGAACTAGAGTCCTAGCAATCGAGCATGAAAGTGTTGCTCTGCACCCTCTTCCAGGCAGCTGTTTGTTTTGTGTGTGTGTCTGAGGATAATAAACACGCTGACCTCTCGCACGCACGGGTGCTGCCTGCTGAGTAATTCCCCTCCTCCTGGGGGTGCTCGTGTTCTTGCCAGTTTCACCCAGCACTGGCAGATGACACTTGTGCTACTTCTGAAGCCCTGCCAACACCCTGGTGGTTATTATCAATTCAGGAACTGCAACTACAAGTTGGGAGTTTAAAACAGCAAATTTCACTTTATTAATTTGTCAAAACATTACTTGCCTTTATTACACATACTGCAATCACCTGAAGAGTTAGATTTAAAAAGAACAAAAAAGAAGAGCATCTGGTTTCCTCAGTTTGTATTGTGCCAGGCAGTTTAAAAAGACTCTTCATTTCTTACATGTGTTTTGACCCAGTTTTACAGTAACTTCTAAAAGTTGTATTTGCCACAATTATTTTGCAAATAGCAGATATCATACAGTAGGCCTGAACCATAACAAAGCCATTCCTGAACTGTACATGTAATTTCTCATTGGGCTAACAGAACACTGCTGCTGAATTAGGTTTCTCTGTTGCTACCATCAGTGTTAGGAGAGGCTTCCACTGAAGATGAGGAATTGAAGAAGCAGTCCCTATTTTATTTGCTTTATTTTTTCCTAGGCAGTTTTATATGAAGTAGTTCCCAAGTACCTATGTAACCACATAAAGAAGAAAGGAGAGCAATGTAACCTTTGTGCTGAAGTCCTTCAGATCAGTGTTTTATTAATCTCTTTGAAAGTACTTGCTATGTTTGGACCCACTGATCAGAACAAAACTCAGGTCACTTCCCCTAGAAACTGGCAGCGACTCAGGCAGTGCAGGGTGGGAGTTAAGCTATTCTATTTACTGGTCTTTAAACCAGACACTAAAAGCTAATGGTCTTTAATTGCCAACATCAGTCTTGGTAGGTCTGGAGAAGAGTGAGAGCTGGCCGTGTTTACCGGCTGTGTGAACCTCCTCGCCCTTACCCCAGAGCACCTGAACTGCTTCCCACGGTGACAGCCAGTGTCTGCTGGACAGTACGAGCTCTCCTTCACCTTGTTTGAACTCTGTCCCAAACCTCTCAGTGGTCACCATGCACAGCCTGAAAACAACATAGTTTAAACGGCCAGGACCTGCCATCCCATCGTGCTGATGTGCTGATGTGTTTTGGTAGAGTAGCACTGAGAAGCTCTGCAGGAGCAATCTGTTCTTAAAATGGATATTAATGCATGTTTGTAGAGCACTGACTATACCAAGCACGCTATGGCTGTCATTTTTATCCTACCCTGTGTGCATGTGAGGTCAGTTCCCACCACATAGTTGCTTCCTACAGTTTTACTCTTGGGAATGCCTACTGGCTTGTCCGATTTTCATTTTTTCTACCCAACCTGTTTTGGGGGAAGAAAGTCACAAGCAGCCTGCCTGTACTTTCAGGAATCCAAAGAATATGAGGAGTAAAACTCTGAAAAAAGCACGTGGGGGTGGTCCTTAACATGGGTGATCTTCTTTGTACTACTGCTGTGCTGGGCATTCCAGAAGCTGTGCTGGTTTCTACGTAAAGACCTCAAGCAAAAAGCTGAAGGGTTGAGGAGCAGAAACTGATTTCTAGGTTTAGTGCTCTTGCTAATTTGCTCTGTGGCCAGGGGCAAGTCACTTGTTCTGTTTATTGCTCTCTGAAATGGAGGAGAATATCTGTTATGGGGGGAAGTTCTTTAAAAGTAATAGTATTTTTACAGTGCTTTGAAGGTTAGAAATGCTACACAAGTGCTAATAAATTATGCTGCATTCATGGCAAGATGATTAGATGCATGGTTCAGATTTGGTCACCTCATTTCAGGGTTATTAAAAAAAAATCAAAGGATCCTCTGAAGAGAGAAGATATCGTATCCTTTCACTGGAATAAACATGGAAGTCCAGTACAGCCCAGCTTAACTGGAAAACAAGTGCTGATGAGTCAAAAGTTAGAGATGTCTGTATGCACTCTCCAATAGATAGAAAAGGATAATACATTTATAATGTAAATGTGCAACATGGCCTCTGCAATATGTAGGCAGAGGCCTAACTTCACACTCCACAAGCTAGATACTTTCTAAGTACGACGGCTCAGTGTGAAAATCCATTTTAAGAACAAAGTCACAGGCAAAGTCCACACATCATAAGTTAAACTTGCATAAACATTCTCTGCTAACTGCAGCTTACAGCTGATGCAAGTATTTCTTCCAGCTTGATTACCTTGTGAAAAAAGTACCTTTTAGTTTAGTAATTTTAGACAGTTCTGTGCTTTACAGTAAGGCAGCTCTTTTATCATGTCCACAGTGCACTGCATCTTTTGCTGGCTTGAGCTCCACTGGCTTCAGCAGAGTTCCTGATGCTAATAAACTTATTGCTGTCACCCCACTTAGAATGATACAAGAGGTACAACATGCCACTAATATTTTCAAACTTGAGAAAGAGTAGTTATACAGGCAGTATACCTACCTTATTTTTTTCTTTATGCTGAAAGCAGCATTAAAATCTCCACTGCCAGCCTATTTGCATAGTTAAGAGTTAGTCTAATTCATGTGCTAGAAGGAGACAGGGAAAAGGGAAATCGAGTGCTATTAGTTAGTGGTTATTGCTGCAGGGCCACTTTAAATTGCATCCCTAATTGCTGTGCTGTCTCTGTGCTGCGGGTGACAGAGCGGTCCCTGCCGCCGCCTGTCAGATTAGAAAACCCAGGTGAGCGAATCCTTTGCTCAGCTGTCAGCGCTCTCTATGCTGGAGACTTCTTCGTGGACAAGTAGAGCCAAATCCTCTTCATTCCAGCTTGTGCACAGAAGCCAGCTGTAAAACAGAGATAAGAGGGGCATCTTCAGCCAAGACAGCCAAGGAGAGCGCTGGGCTGATTGAGCACAACTGAGCGGTTCTGGTGTCCCAGCAAATAACTGCAACGGCAGCACTTGCCCTTATGGCACGAGTTAGACAACATCATTTCTCTCTTTGAAAAGCACTGAGCTGCTATTCTAGATTTATTACAGGCTGGGGCAAGGCTCCTGCTTCTGCTCTCAAATAATAACACTGCATGACACTCTCAAAAGGACGGGTTTAGAAAGGCTATTCAAGGGGTAAGACACCTGAAACACCAGGGACACCAGGGACAGAAGGAAAAGAGAAATAACCTACAAACTTTATGAGGAGGATGGACTACAGCCCTGCCTGCAGGATGGACTCATTTAATGGTAAATATTTATTACTCTTTGCATGGAAGAGAGTGCTTTATAACACTAACATTTTCATACAGCACTGAACAAACTGATACTATTATTTTATAAATTGAAGGTATTTACTGGGCCTGCAGCAATATAACAATCTCCTCACTTTTTTATTACTTTCTTGGAAATTATTCTCCATCCTCAGCACACAATCCCTTTGCTTCAATTCCCTTAGGTCTGAAACCCATCACTACCTCACTCTTCAGATACTGTCAGTACAGCTACACTGAACAGGTTGAGGAAAATAAAGTCAAGCAGACACAGACTTGAAATAATGCGAGATACTGTAAAACTACAGCCTTTTTACTGCCTCCTTAAAAATAAAAATGCAGCTGATCTAGAGATAAAAAGTAATTGAGACATTAGGAAAAAAGACAAAAACTTCCATGTCCTCTTAAGAAAAATTGTGTTTTTTTTTTCTGAATGCAAGTGAGAAATAATTAAAAATTCTTCTTCTGTCATTTAGATCTATGTTCCAGCATGCAAAAGAAACATTAATTTATACTGAAAAGCTTCTGTGAATACCAATGAAAAACAAACCTTCCTTGTCAATACTACTAGAAGATTACTAGCTAAGACTGTATACAAACACTATGGAGATGTATTTCTTAAACATAACCAGAGACTTGTTTATATGGGGCTTAATATTAGTGCCGATCTTTACAGATTGTAGTTACACATCGTACAGATTGTAGTTACACATCGTCTCATAGAACATAACAAGCTTGGGATGGATGGACCTTTTTTTCCTCCATGAAACCTTTTCTCAGTGGCCCTTGCAAGGGCCTCAAACCAATGGAAGCAACATTCC